TTTTTGCAGTGTTATGTGCTGAAAAAGGTTGTTGATTAAAAGATTACTTTTTTTGGTTTTAATTTGAAGAGAAAGCCAACTCATAAAGTGTTTGCCATAGAAGGAATTTAGCATCAAACAGCCATTCCATCGTGGCTTGCAAGTTTCTGAAATATTAATCCAGAAATGTAAACTTGAATCCTCAGACGTCTGGTTTGAAGCTTCCTCGCCAGAATAACTCCCCCATCACTCATACAAAAATGTAATCGCTGTGAAAGGGCCGATAATCAGGACTGGGAGTGCTGGTGTACCAAGGAATTCCAGGGGAGTGTGATCACAGCCAGGCTGGCGTTGAAAGCTCGTATCTGTGGCTTAGTGGGACACCAAAGTCCCAGAAGACCATGAGGAGGGTTAGCCGGTGGGAGGGAGCGAGGAGAATTTTTGTAAACCAGCAGGCCTCAAAATTTTCAGCCAGAAGGAAGCTGTTTTGTATCCACACAACAGGTGACAACAGCATCCTCAAAAGCAAGCCAATAACATGAAAAAGGAACCAAAGGAAAAATACACATTTTTAAAAGTTACCTCAAGTAAAGAATAAACTGTCAATGCTAACGTGGATATTTAGCATTTTAGCATACTGTTTAAAAATGCTAATATCTGCTAATTCGCAACTATACACAAATTGCAGCTCAGCCTTATGGGAATGTCAGTAGTTTTGCAGGAAAGGTTAGGGGAAGTTATTGTGATTCATCCAGAAGGAAACTGCAAAATGTATTTGAATGCCTGAACCAAAATTCATAGCAAGTCATCCAACAGTTATTAACAATTTTTTTTATTTAAAGCCAGAAATGTAACCCTTATGGTGCCAGAGGAATAGTCAGGGGATTACCAAGGTCAGAAGGAGTCATGGATGTCTGTACAAGATTTTGTGCCAATCCATCAAGTGGATGCTGAGAAATATTTCATTCATGAGTCATTAGGATTCATTCTCTGGGCACCGCAAATATCTGTACCAAGTATGAAAGCAATCACTCCAAAAATAAAAAAATGTCAATGTCATGGCGGCACTAGAGGAAAAGCCAGAGGATCAACAAAGTGAACAGGATTCATCCTCTAGGGACCATGAATACCTGCACAAAACCATGTGACAATTCATCCAGTAGTTGCTGAGATATTTGGACCGGAGTGGTGAATCAACTGACTAACCTATAGAGCCACACCTCTAGTGTGGCTGCAAAACAGCTCATCTATATCACCTCACAGTTGCCAAAAACCACATCCTGACTTCACCCAAAGGTTTCTACCTGCATGTTTAGACCCCTGCTTTAGATCAACAATTCAAACCCTCATCCATCTGCACTGGTGCTTCCCGCATTTCAACACAGCAGCTATTGAACTGGCACAAAGCAGACTACAACAGATCCTGTCAGGAGGTGTGGAAATACAGTCTCAATCGTCCCCATGGCGCTGCCTCCTCATACTTTGATGCGCTGCCAAGAAGATATTTCTCACACTGATACTCAGATGGCAAGGGGAACAGAGAGGGACACAATCACTCAAAAATGATACATACAAAAGTTGTACTACTTTTATATCTTAACGCCTCATCGGTCTGCATCTTTTGATACCTCAACATTTTAGAGCCTTTTGAGTCTTGTGGGTGATTATTGTCTAAGTGGGAACAGTGTAATGAGTATCCGAGGTGACTAACCAGTGGCTGAGGGTGAGTCACAGACCGACCCCCTTTTCACATGCTGCAGTTCTCAATGCTCCCTTTTTGTCCCTAGAGGTGATGAGTAGCTCCAGTGTCGACACAATGGCGGCACTGCAGGCCATTCAAGTAATAGGCAGATTACAGGGCTTTTCAAATCCTCTGGTTTGATGCCTCATCATCCCAAATCTGAAGCTGCACAATTACTCAGCCACTTGTGCTGATGCTGGGGCCTCACTAAGGAGGGAGATAAGACTCAATGATACTTTTGGGCTTCATCAATCATAATTTAAGTATTCAAGAACAACAAAACTTTTTTTTTAATTTAAAAAAAAAAAGCCAACTAAGATTGTCTTTTGAATGGATTTAGTTTAAAATGAAATGAAAATAGCAAAAGGGCGAAACAGCCTGATGCAACAAGAGTAAAATTGTGTGCGTGTAGAACTGTAATGATAGATACAGTAATGATATATTATAGGACTCTATTGTTAGTTCAAAGCGGAGTCATGGATGAAAGAGAAGGTGGAAGGATAGACAGAGTCGGGCTTGTTGTAAGACATAGATTACTATCATCGTTCCTCTCACTGCTGTAATAGTGGTATATAATACAGTGGCGACATGAGCACTGAAGTGACCCCACCAAAACAAACACAGAGCTACAGTGTTGGCATTGCATGAACACCGAGCCTTTTCAAAGGATGGATAAATTACAGTCTTGGAGGGAAAGGGAAAGGGCAAGGCAGCGGGGAAGAACTTAGCTGTCAGGTGGCAGTTCAGTTTGAAGCGCTCATTATGTAGCTCACTGGAGGCTTAACAGGTACCTCATGAATCTACCTGTTAATAACAAGGTTGCTGGAAAAACACAGATACCTGAAAAAAAAGTTGTTGTAATTTAGCTGTTGCTATGCGTGTAGTAATATTACAGCACAGATGGATTATAAGGCAGCTTTTGCCAAAAGGTTAGCGTTAGTTGTAGCTTGAATTAAAACTTATAATCAAGCTCAAGCTAACTATGTGACAAGCTAATTACCCAGTTAGCTAATCAGCTACTAGCCAGTTAGCTAACCAGCTAACTGGGCAGTAGGCAAATTTAACACAACCTGAGGTAGAAAGTAACCAATAACATTATTATAACAATAAATATTTACAGTTAGATACCTGTACTTTACCTGAATATTAGAACTTTATGCGACTTTATGATTCGATGTCGCTAGCTTATTTCAAAGGCCAGTCTCCATGATACTTTGCTACATGTTTTGACAGATAGCGTTAGCCATTTACAGATTAATATTTTACATACAAACCTATTATCAATTTATAAAATGCAATGCGAAGATCAAACTAAACTAACCTAAGTATTTAAAATAGTCAAACTTAGTTCAGCCTTTGGCTACAGCATTAAAATGCTGCTCACAATCATATGGTTTGCTAGCCAACATAAACAGATTCATCAAATTTACATATTAATGTCCCATTTCTGTTACAATTGATGAATATATTTATATTAATGAATACAAGCGATATCCATCTGTCCTATTGTGTATGTGTCTGCAGATATGTGTGTATTTCACTTAAATTGCAGGGATTCAATTTCCGTCTGAGGACAAAAATCTGGTCCCCACAAGTTTATTTTGTGGGCACAACCTTCTTTTTTTTGGGGGGTCAAGTTTAGGTTGGGTTTCTTATAGCCTAAGGGCTGAGTTTAGGCTGGTAATGATGGGTAAGGTTAGCCTAATACAAGGCTTAATACAAAGACTTCAAAAGGGGCAAACACAAGTGATAGGTTTGTGTGTTTCTGCACATGTGGAAGTGTCATATTGCATGAATCAGGAAGATGTGATGAGCAAGACCTCTGTGACTAAAGGAATGCAATCAACCAGACTTCCTTCCACCAACGTCTCTGCTTCTTCTCAGTGCTCAAACAGAATTCTTTGAACCTCCTAAACCTAACAATCATTCCACCATCTGTGATAATATTTAACCAACCTCTCTGTTTCTCTCTGCCCCTCCCCCTCTGTCTCCGTGTGGCAGTGTGGCTTTTGTATTAAGTATTAGGTTACATTATATTTTTTGATGGTAGTGTGAAAAGGAATAAGATAGACAGTGAAACTGATCTCATTCCCCTTAACATCACATTCTTATGGCGCCATTAACTTTGGGAAAAACAGTGTTTGCTCGCCATCTAGTGGTGAGGGGGAAGGCATACACAATGTGCCAGTATCTCTGTGTAATCGCAGGGCTTTCCCCAGATTTTTTGTGATGATGAGGAAGACACGCTCATAATATGAACCATTACATTCTGAGCAAAGTACAGGTGTAAATGTGAGGGACTACATGAATATAAAAAGATTTACTGCTGTGAAAGAACGAAATAAAAAAATCTTAATATAAACTCAGAAGTACTCACTCTGCATTATTAAAAATTAAATTGTTTATTTGTTGATCACCAGGAGCAATTTTTGCATTACAGCAGCACAAGAAAAATACCAGAATAATAGATAGGAAAGAATACATACATTAAGTTAGAAAGCTATATACAGTACATTACCCTAGACCTGTGCATGCAAAACCGATAATACAGCTATTAATTTTGCAATATCCTTTTTTCTAATTAATTATTGAGGAATTATGCAAATGCCTGAGCTTCAAGCTGCCCAGAACTACCACTTGTAATGCATGTTTGGAGTGTCATTGTCTTTTAAATTACTTGTTGTGTTTTGCATAAATGCCAAAAATTCTGTCGTACCAGCTTCTCAAATGTGAATATTTGCTAGTTTGCCAATTTTCTATGATACTAAACTCAACATTTGGGTTTTTTTTGACTGTCAGACAAAAAATATGTATGAATATGCCGACTTGTGCTTCAGGGAATAATGATGGCATCTTCACAATTTTCTGACATTTTTATACACTGAAAAATCTATTGATTATTAAATTAAATAATTCAAATCATAATCAAACCTTTTGATAATGAAAATAGGCTGCATCCTGACCGTACTCCTGTGATGGAATAATACTAGCTACTTGACACAGAAAACATTAAACTAAATTAAATATATAAATGGGCTGAATACAAACTAAACCAGTAAGTATTAAAACTAGATTTTGACACAAGGTCTTTCTACAAACAGATGGATGGAAGGCAGTTGATATAATGCTTCTTTTTTTTTTTTTCTTATAACAAATTGGTGATTAACCAAATCATGTAGACAGAAATGATATGGAGCAACCCCAGGCTTGCTCCATATCATTTCTGGTAGTCCATCCTCCAGTCTCTATAGACACAGACAGTGACTGAGAATCAGTCAAAACTAACTGAACCAAGCTGGGAAGCCACCCATGCGATGACGTCACGAGGCTCTGACAAGCTGGTGGTGCCGGAAGAAAAGATGGCGGATCATGAGGAGCAGCTATCCGACGAGGAAAAGGTAAGACGCCGATTTAATCACAGGTTTTATCCACCCAGCGGAGCACGTTTGCGCCCAAATTTTGGGTTGCATTCGTGTCCGTCTCCCGGTGCATCCTGGCGTCGTCTGGCGTTTTTATTGAATTTGTAGAAAACCCCAGGCCTCGGCACAACCGCTGCTGCTTCTGCTCTTATTATTTTTAGCTCAACTTCCGCTCATTTGCGAATCTCAAACGGAGGCTCCTTGTACGGTCCTGACTCAAAATAGGAACCATGTACATATTATAAATTCATCTAAGCTCACCTCCTACGCCCTTTTCGTTCTGTGGACATGTCATTTCGCCCCTGTGTCCCTGGTCGCTTGTGTTATGGAAGTTTTCATACACCAAAGATCGGTAGCTAGTTAGTTTAGCATAGCCGCAGCCCGCTATCAGATAGCCAGACTTGCTAACACGCCCTTTTCGCTCTTTGACACCGCTTTTCTGTCGTTACACATAAAAAATATTGTGAAGTGGTGATTTTTCTGGTTATTTATTCCTTTCAAATAAGCCGTATGACCGCAACCATACGCGTTGTACAAGCTAGCTTGCTAACTAACTACTGCAGCTGTAGTAAGTAACGTTTCACTATCAGTACAAATATGTGGGAACTTGTATGAGCTTCAGTTGATCAACGACATGAAGGAAATGACCCAAAATGTAACATCACGCATATTAGTTATACTTTAGCAAAAGTATTCATACGTGCTTTTTCCATTTTAAAGTCTATATGTGCAGCTGTAAAGGTCCAACACAAATATTTATTCTTTTAATAGCGGTGTAACAGAAAACTGTGGTAGTCAGTTTCACACTGGAGGCAGGTTTCATACCCCATTACACCCCTGCTAGTATCTGGCGGTACAAGCACTGTTCGCTTTCCTTTTACATTTCCTTAAGAGAGACCAAACACACAGACAGCCAATACCTTGTCTGATCTGTTTGCAGGAATCATACTTGCACTTTATTTTAATTTAGTTGGCAGACTTAGATTCAATGCACATTTTAGCCTGTGTTAAGCTTTATTTGCCTTTTGGTCAGGCAAACTGGAAACAGACCTTTTATCAGTGTGATAACTGCTGCTCCAGCCCTCAAGTCGAAACTATTTATTAATTAATTGACAATGTGATAGTTATAGAATCCCAATAAATTACTGGTTACAGCTGTAAAGATGTAAGTTATTGTAAATTTAATACTTGGGTTTGTCAGTGTTCATCAGAATTTGCCAGCAAAGTTGAGACATCTTTATGAACTCCAATAATTTGTGATGTATTTAACATTTTTGAAAATATTTTGTAAATTAAATGACATAACTTTTAAGTACAAAAATAGCCAGTAAATGAATGCGTTGGCAAAACAACTCATGGTCACCGCCTCACCATACGTCTTAACGGGTGTATAAGCATGGAGGTATGTGCATACATGTATCTAATACCCTGTGTTGTTGCTTGTTAATATCACAGTAAACTATTACAAGCATTCTTTACTCTGTGGGTTATGTAATACACCATTCAGTGTTAGAACAACGCCTGGTTTTATTTTGTTCACTTTCAGCCTGAGTCAGAAGGTTTTTTTAGAGTTTAGGCAGCTCATTGACCCGCGGGTGTGACTGCATCACGCTCATCAACACACAGGCATCAGCTGTTAGCTCAACATTTTATTAGAGGCCTCGGGTGAGTGTGTGTGTGTGACTGCAGACACCTTGTGATTTTGTAAAGTAACACGTAAGTCTCACCATCAATAAAGTTTTCAGGTGCGTCCGACATGAAGCTGTGGTAAAAGTGTTAACAACTTTAGATGTTGGTGCCGTAAAGAGGATGGGAGCTCTTTACATCTCTTAACCGCATTGGTTTCCACAATTGTTGAACCACTTTCACCGTTTGACCAGACAGTTTAATTTTGTAGAGCTGAAAGAATGCTTGTTGGCAACCTGCCAGGCAGACTGCCAATATTACGCAGTATTTATCTGGTGGGAACTGTTCATTTCCTTCTGAGTATGATTGGTATGGGACCAAAGTGGTTACATTATGCATCCATCCTCTGTATGTTGTGCAGTTAAAAGCAAAGCATTTCCGTGAATATACTGCAGTTGTATTCTGTACTCTGAACGCTGTCTCTCCGGTGTATTTGCTCACAGCAATCAGCCATCTGCTCTGGCCCCTCAGCTCGTTTTATGCAGCTCAGAGAAAAACTGCAAAGGAAGGAAACAAGTGTTGTCTCTGCCTAACATAATGACAGTGAGTTTGAATAACTTTTTCACTGGCCAGTCGTGATTTGTAGAATTAAAGTAAAACTCCAAATGATGTTTGATGACCTGCCAGAGACGGTTAGATTGGACAAACCAAGCCACAGTCAGAATCTCCCGTCACAACTAATGGTACTTTCCCACACTGAGCGACGAATCTGCAAACGTTCTTTTGGTGGAATTCAAACCGGCTATGATCTGACATTACTGTGATGACTGTTTAATCTACTTTGGAAGAAATAGCACTTTTGATACGTAGCTTTAGAAAAGTTAACTGAGGCAATTTTGTTTTGTTTTTTTTTTTATAGCGAGACATCTGCATGCATCTGTGTCAAATACAATAAATAGATTTGAGTTTGCCTCTGTAAAAATGCTTCCTGAATGTGTCCCAGGGGACTGGGGAATTTCTGTCCTGTTGCTGTTGTGGCTGTCCATGTCACTGCGATTCTTAAAAAAGAAAAAAAAAAAAGACCTAAAAGCTTCCTGAATGGGAATTAGTGAAAAGTCTCTTCCACTTGTTAAATGATTAAACAGCAAAATGAGTCTCCTCTCAGCCACAGATACGAAGTGCTGCTTGCAGTCTTTTTAAATCATTTGGGCACTGGCCTGCCAGCTTCCTGATTGCAGCACAGAAACCACACAAGTATAACAGGAAACTCTTATTACTCAGTGCATTTGCTGTCTCTTCTTTTGTCTGTACGTAAGAACTTGGGAAGGTACCAGAATCAGAAACAAAGCACTTTTACTTCTTTACTTGTCAATTTGATTGTTTGTTATTTTAGGAAAAGACCTGAAACAATGACATGGTAGCCTTTTTAATGGTGTATTATGGTTTAAAAAAAAAACATCTGTAAAGGAGCTGGGTGTCTGCTGTGGTTCCTGTTTCAGAGAGAGGCAAAACTTTCTGTTCAGTTTAGTGAGGATGCATGATATCATGAAAAGGCTTATATTCGAGAGGGGAAGTTTTATTGCTTTGATGTTGGCGTGCTGTTAAAATCAATTCCTATTGAACCTGATGTGATCATTCGTAAATTGGTCAGCTGTAATTTCACCATAGTAGCATCAGCATTTTTGACTTTTACAGTTTAGTTGAACCTGTAGGTTGTTCAGAAAAAACAGCTTCATACAGTCAGAAGGTGGTTGTTAAAAGTTTTTTTTTTTTTTTTTTTTTTACAAATATGTTAAGACCAAGATCACTAACTGTACATAATGATTTTATCTCTAAACTAGCAGGTAGTAAATCACTTGTCACGAGAAGTTAGCACACATACTTAAACACACATAATAGTCAGATAGTTAAACCAACATGCAGGGGTCAGCATAGATAAATGAGCAAGCTAAACAAATGTTACAGTTCCTCTTCCAATCCAGTCAAATGCCATAATAAGACATAAGACACAGCACTCCCTTTAAGTTTGGTGAAAATGTACTTGACACTGACTGAGATGTGTGTATGGATGCAGTCTTTGTCGGAGCTACAAGTTGTAAAGTATGAGTGAGTAGTATATAGCTATTTTCAAAGACCACAAACGCACCCTTTAACTGGTTCGTCATCATCATACCTTGCTCACTTGTGGTTAATTACATGTGGTATGTATACAGGTAAAAACAGCAATACAGGTTGATGTGACAGCAATGCTGCGATACATGTTGACAGTGCAGTAGCTAAAGAGACAGAAAAGAAAACACTTTGAAGCAAGCAGCACAGAAAGTGTGTGAATTTGGGAGCAGTGGCTTGATTCCCACTGGGAGCACCAATGTAATGAATGCATGTAGAGTAATTATGTGTGGAAACATTCACTGAATCCCATGTATAGAATTAAGCCCATCTAAATATTTAGGCTATGCATGTGACATGATCTGTATAAATATCGGGATGATAGAAAAAATTAAATCCAGAACTACAGAATTGCAATACAGAGTGCTTTACATCATACAATATATTACAGAAATAGAGATAAAATACAATCTTCTTGTTCCTCATACACACCAGACCTGCTGAATAACTCAGTTATTACACTTGAGACCAGAGAATCCCATTTGATCAAGTTTTTCTTTCTTAAAATTTCCGGTTTGAAAGGAGGAGTTTTATTTCTGTCTCGGTAAGAAGGGACATAAAGAAACCACAGATAAAGTATAATCCTCTTTAACACTGTGCACTAAATTAAATAATGGTGTGGTTAAACCATCCCTCATTTTACTGGCGAGCCACTGGAAACTCCCAGCAGCCCTGAGCTCGGCTCAGCTTGTGAATAACTGTCTTTAGACCATAGTTGGATGCTGAAACTTAGTGGCATCTCCCTTTAACTGAAGAATGTGAAAGACAGAGGAGTGCTGTCTATACGTGCCTGCAGCAGTGTCAGAGATCTGGAGATGAGGAAACAACTATGCATGAGTTTTTGTCTCAACCCCTGGGTAGAGTGCGGTGTCTTTAGGGCCCAAACTGGTGCCTTGTTCAAGGGGTAGAACAAGCTGGAGCCTCCTTAGTTGATCTTCAGGCAGAGAACTCCCCCTTTTCTCCTGAGGACAGTTTTGAGAGCGGTTACTTCCGTTGAAACTTTCTAGATCAGTAAGCAACTTTAGAAACGGTGCTTTAAGCCAGATAACAAACCAGTTGACTCAGGAGTTTCCTATAAAATGATAGATGTTAATTTGTAAAGACCAGTGGCTTTACACTGTGGTGTCTGCATACTGGAGGCTGTAATGCAAGCCAGTGATATTCCATATATTGCATAGCTGGCT